TTTTTGTTCCCCAAAAGTTTTTAATGTCAATATAGCTTCTGACTAACGATGCTGTTTCATTAAATAAGAACAGTTCTGTGCCGGTGAGATGGAATGGGGACGTTGGCCTTAAGTTTCTGACTTTTAAATAAATTTTTTTTTAAAGATTTATTTATACATTCAAGAAACGCAGTGTAGGTAAGAGGTGTGGGGGAGGTGTGAGAGGATTGACTAGAGACAGAGTGGGAGTAGAACAGGCAGATCTACTGAAATACAGAGGGGAGCAGCAGGCAAGACAGGAGAGGTCTGCTGCTCCATGTGTGTAGTTCCCTGGCCAGCTTGTGCTGTATCTTTAACCCCGGCACCACCAGGAAGGCCCCGATTTTCTGACATTTTTAAATGGCAAAAAATCAGCATCTTATAAATAAAAAAATTACAAGATTCTACTATTTTAATTTTCCTGAAGAAATAAATATTATAAGTGACCTGAGCAATTGTTACTAAAAGTTGAACTGGTATAAATTCAGAAATAAGTGAGTGATAATATTTCATATTAAATCTTACTAAATTATATGTCTTAAATATCCAATATTATGATATTTTATCATATTATAAGTCTTGTTCAGTGTTTGCTTACTCACTGTTTCCATGAAGTCTCAGAAGCTACGCAGCAACAAAAAGCGATCCTAGCCTTAGTGAAATTTTTTCTTCATGGCCACTTTGGAATGCTAGCGTGTTAAAATAATCAAATGTTTTTAAAAGACAAATAAAATTCTAACTGACTCACTAAAGTGTAATTTTTTTGCACTTAATGTGTCATGTCTTATTCACATTTCTTAATGTGTTATTTCTTATTTAATTTGTAAAATCCTTCATGAGTACCCTTAATTTTTGTTCACAAATCCATAGGATAAATCATTATTTTGAATACAATGCTATAATCACTTGTTCAAGTCTCCTCTACAAAAAATATTAGTATTGGGATTCTAAAGTGGAGATTCTAGAGTCGCCATTTGATTCCATCAATGGATCAAAAATAATGAAAACTAAGATCATATGCACGGTTATATTAATATTTCTATACAGATCATTTGATAGTTTTATCAGCTATACTGTAAGGAATCTGGTCCAAAAATAAGCAATGAAAAACTTAACCAAAGGACATAAAAATAATTCACAATGAGATGAAATAACATAATCACCTATCATGGAGGAATTACATTGTGATTCATATCATAAAAAAATTAATTCCTGGGCCTCCCTGGTGGCACAGGGGTTAAGTCTCAGCAATATCCAGCATGAGTTCAATCCCCTGCCAGGGAGCTAACTCACATGGTGCAGCAGACCTCTCCTGTCTCACCAGATGCTCCCCACAGCAGTGTATTTCAGTCAGCCTGTTCTGCTCCCTACTCTGTCTCTGGTAAAACCTTTCAGCTCCCCCCAGACCCCCTTATACCACCTCTGGTCTATACCCCAGATCTTGTATGCATAAATAAATAAAAGAAATCTTTAAAAAAATTAATTCCTTATAAAATGATTAGAAATTTATTGTAACCACATTGCCAATATTTTTTTAGTTGCTGTTTGTTTGTTTATTTTAATTTGTTGAAGTTCACAGTCAAAATTTCTTGGACATTCTTAACCAAAATAAACTATAAAATTTTGAAAAAAGAATTATTAAGAGGAACTTTTGTTGATTAATAAAAAAACATTTTACAAAGCTGTGTTAGTTAAAAGTGCATCCTGTGTTCAGAATGATAGAGACTAAATGGAATTAATAGGAAACTCAAGGACATACTTTGGTATACATAAATATGTAGTTTCTAATAATGGTATTTCACATTAATATGAAGAAAATAGATATATGAATAAATAGTGAGGAGAAAATGTTGGTTATGTATTTGGAGATATAGATTTAAAAATGAAAACTTTTGGGAATAGTTCCTTCTTCTGATTTTTAAAGATCTTAAAAGGAAACTTATTACATTAAAATATATGTGCTCTCTATGTAATACTGCCAAGCCAGAAAAATATTTGTAACATTTATGACCGATTATTCATTCACTTATATATTATTATTCATTTAAACATCCTTGTTTATTATTTCCAATATAGGATTTCTCCCCTCAAGTGTGGTCACCATAGTTTTCCCATCACCAAAGTGCCCCCTGTCCTCTACCATACTCTATCTCTTTCCCTTCTCTCTCTCCTTCCCTTTCTTATTCATGTATTTTACAGATTTTTTTTTGAATCCCTACCCTGAGCATCAGATATAGATTGGGCACTAGAAGGGAAACATAAACATTTTTGAATAGATGATTTAAGATAATGACAACTATTGTGATGATTATAAAACCTTGTTTATCAATACCTACACTATTCTTTTTTAGGATTGTGCAGAGGAATCTAGAATGACTGTATGCTAGCCAGGGTTGTCAAGAAAGTGCCTCTACCTCCCTGGTGGCACAGGGGTTAAAAACAGCACTATCAAGCTATCACCAGCCACTGCAGCACGAGTTCCATCCTGGCCAGGTGACCCACATTGTGCAGCAGGACTCTCCTGCCTCACCCACTGCTCCTGTCAGCATTGTATTTCAGTAGATCTGCCTGTTCTGCTCCCCAGTCTCTCTGGTGAATCCTCTCACTCCCCACAACTCTGTTTTACACCCCAGTTCTTGTGTGCATAAATAAATGAATCTTAAAAAAAAAAATAAGAAAGTGCCTCTAGGGAAGTAACACTGAGCATAAACTCAAAGAAGCCATAGAGGTTCAGAGTGAAGAACATTGTAGGAAAATGTTCATAGAGCATGTATTAGTTTCCATTGCTACAGAAACAAAGTACAGCAGTTCCTCAAATAATGCCTTTTGTTCAATGTCATTTTGTTATAATGTTGATAAGACATTGTTTGAAAACCACTTTTGTTACTTGTAGTTTTGCTTATAGTAATAGTTTACAGGAACCTATCAGTGATGTTGAGTACTTAATGTACCTCAACTTAAGTGATTTTCTCATTGCTTTCAGTTTCTAAAGACAGCCAGAATTTCTTTAGAAGACAGCCACATCACTCCATTATTTCCATCATGTCATTGCCTCTGCTCATTTTCATCCTGCCTCACTCTTATAAGAACCCTTGTGATTTCATTGTCCCCCCTCAATAATCCATAATAATAGATCTATCTCAAAATCCTTGATTTAATCACCTTTACAAAGATTCTTGCCATATAAAGTAGTATTCACAGATCCTGGATATTAGGATGTAGACATCTTTGGGAGAATAGCATTATTTAACCTACCACAGGTCCTGATAGTGCATTCATTTCCAATGGCTACTGTGACAAAGCGCCACAAACTTGGCTTAAAAAAGCATAAATTTATCATTATATAGTTCTGAAGGTTAAAGTCCCAACGCGGTCTCACCTAGATAAAATCAGTGTGTGAGCAGGGCTATATTCCTTTGGGAGTTCTACAGGAAAATGCTGTGCTTTGTCCTTTTCAACTTGTGGAGACCACCCACAGTTTTTGGTTCATAGTCTCCTTCCATCTTCAATGCCAGAAACTTGTTTCTCTCTGTTCCTGTCTATAAATTATATGTCTCTCTAGAGCTGTCTTCTACATCCTCCCCCTCTCCAAATCAATAACTGTGTAAGAAAAGCCTTCCCATTGGTTCTGAATCCATATACTGTGTGAATTTTTAAAAAGATTTATTAATGCATACAAGAACTGGGGTACAGGCCAGAGGTGTGGGGGGTGAAAGGATTCATCAGAGACAGTAGGGAACAGAACAGGTAGACTGACTGAAATACACTGCTGAGGGGAGCAGTGGGTGAGTTGGGAGAGGTCTGCACCATGTGGGTAGCTCCCTGGCCGGGGATTTAACTTGTGCTGCAGTGGCTGTGGACAGCTTCATATGTTGCATCTTAACTCCTTGCACCACCAGCGAGACCCCCCACAGTGTGATTTTGACATGTAATTATAGCTGAATGAAATTAAGTTAAATCTAAAATTTTTCTCTATTTCTCACAAAGTGAAAGACCCACCATTTACATTTTAAGACAGCAATGGAGTAAACACAATTACTCAAAGTGAAAAGAAACTTCTGAGATTCCCTTACTATGTAAATTTAACTGTTTTTGGCTCTCAGGGATTCTCTTCTCAATGACTATGATAAAGATATTTATAACTGTTTCAAGTAATCATTGCTTTTCAGTATCTATCAAATGAGGAATACCTGTATTCCTTTCAAAATTTCATAACTATAAAACTGTATTATACTATTTTATTTTAAAGTGCCCCCAATAGAGGAATTAAGATATTGTTATCAGTCTTTGCTTCATGCAAAAGGACTTAAGCTTGACACTTGACATTATTGCTTGTAGTTTATATAAATCATTGGTTTTTATAAGATATGTTTACTGTGTGGTGCCCCAGGTTTAGCTGTTTTTAAAACCTTACATTTTTCTTAGCTACTATTAAAATTTTACTTTTTCTTCAGAAATAGATTATATCAGTTATTCAATTTTACAACATCAATGTTCACACAAATTAGTGTAAAATTTTATCTGATTTATGTGGTAAACTTTAGTAAGAAAGAAGGAAGTTGCTCCATTTTTTCCCCCCCACTGTATATCTGACTGGTAAATGCATTGTATTTGAACCGTATGCTTTTTTTCTCCCTCAGAGAAAAATATGTATACTTACAACTTGGCTTTTCTTTTCTTTTTTTTTTTAAGATTTATTTTTATTTTTATACAAGAACTGGGGTATAGGCCAGAGGTGTTGGAGGGTGAGAGGATTCACCAGAGACAGAGTGGGGAACAGAACAGGCAGACTGACAAAACACACTGCTGAGGGGAGCAGTGGGTGAGACAGGAGAGGTCTGCTGCAGCATGTGGGATTCTTGCTGCCTGGCTGGGATCGAACCCGCGCTGCAGAGGCTTCACAGTGCGTCGCTGGAGGCCCCAACTGGGCTTTTCAATCTTGATATTCTCTCAAAGCTAATCATGTTTTCTTTTCATCCTAGTTCAGACTTGGTTCCTTCAACCTAGAGAAAGTTGCAAACCCAGCTGAGGTTATTAGAAAACTTATTTGTGACTGCCTGGACAACATCACAGAAAACCAAGCCAAAAATGAGCACCTGCAGAAAGAAAATGAAAGACTTCTGAGAGATTGGAATGATGTTCAAGTTCGGTGTGTTCACAATGAGTTTGTATTATAAAAACTCTAAATTCTCATTTTGATGTCATAGTTTTAAGTTAATGATTTAAAATCTGTGGACTACCATATATTTAAAATAAAATCTGCCATTAATTATACTTTTATTTAGAATTATTAAACCAAATTATTGGTCACTATTGTACACTATAAGAGCTTGTTAATATTTTTAGTTCATTAGTATTCAGTAACACCAACAAACTTTTAAACAATAAGGAGTTATTGGTAATAAGATTCAGAATCCTTTAATATTAATCAAAATTTAGAAGTTTGATGTTCATAGAGATGGCAGTTGGTATTTATAAGAATTAATGTAGTTCAATTGATAAGATTAATGATACCAAAAACAAAACTGTAAATATTAGAAAACAATACCAAAATAAGTTAATTTTTTCTTTAACTTCTGTTTTATTTATGTTACTATGAATCAGTGTCAAATATCTGTGCTAAAAAGCATGATTCAGAACAAGTATTTATAGTTTGAGTATTTTTCAATTTTACATACAAAATAAATTAAGGAAGGTATACTGTGGTTGTGATAAACCATTATACTTAAAACTCAGAGTATCTTCTAGATAATAGTGAATTTGATCCATAAATTGCCCACAAAAATGGGGGGTGGGTACATGGTACTTGAACAAATTGCTTTAAAATGTCTGCCAGATGTCGAAAGAGGTATTATCTCATCAGTATTCATCACCACTGCCATAGAAAGGAAAGCAGCAGGAAATAAAGATGAGACAGTGGAGACAAATGCACCCTGTGCCCTAAAGCAGTGTGTGTGAGGGGTGTATATAATATTTGTCCCACAGATGCTTAATTTGCTATTTCTCAATGATTCAAGAACTGCTTTTTTTTTCCCCCCAAAGATTTATTTATTTATTTATTTATTTATACAAGCACTGGGTACAGTCAGAAGCACGGGAGGGTGAGAGAATTCACCAGAGCTAGAGTGGGGAGCAGAACAGGCAGACAGATGATGGACACTGCTAAGGGGAGCAGCGGGCGTGGCAGGAGAGATCTGCACGCCATGTTGGCCCCTTGCCGGCGGCCAGGGATTGAACCGGCACTGCAGAGGCTGCTGGCAGCTTCTCAGCCCAGCGCTCACCAGGGGAGACCCTCAAGAACTGCTTTTGTGTTATCGTGATTAAACTTTCCTATTTGATCAAAAGCATAGTCATGCATTTTACCACCTGCTTGATTATGCTCCAGCTATTCAGGTTTTTTTTGTAAATACTGGGTCAAACATCTCCAGGCTCTGAAGATATGTGCCACTGTGGTAACTCTCCAAACCGAGAGCAAAGAAAGCCCACCCCGATGAGTTCTAGGCTTTTGATTATGAGTTTAAGATTAGTAGCTTTATTTTCCAACTTTGCTATTCTTTCCTATCAGAGAAAAAAGTGACCATTTTAAAGAGCTGTAAATACAGCAGTCCTTTTTTAAGCATTCCCTTGTTAGTGCCTTTGTAAACTGGAATATGAACAAAGGATTTATACCGCTCCAGATTCCATAAGGCTAGAAATAAGACAAACATACAGTAAGGTAACCGACAAAATCAGACATAGAGAATTATTAGCACCTGGGCCATCATTTCAGGCCTAGTAACAATTCATTTTTCTGGGCAGCATCTGATTTCTCATGTTTCATTATCTATCCATGATCCAGTCATTTCTTCCTGCTCATTGCTTCTGACTATGTATATGTATTAGGGCAGGGTGACACAAAATAGATCCTGTTTATTCAGAATTCCCCTACAAATATATTTGATACATTATATTAATAATATATACCCAGAAATGTGATTAAATTTTCCTTTTCTTTATGGAGATATTTTTGCATATATTTTGTATTTAAAAACATGTCACAATCAGAGTCAGCTCTAAAGGTATTTCCATTTGGGATGACAGTGGGGAATAAACAATATATGATGAGGAATGAGAAATTACAATATGAGTAAAAAGAATGTGTTTTAATATGAAGATTTTTAACAAATCTATTTTCTCTGATTTTAAACTTTTGTTTAATAATTTTGAACAAGTGACATTACTGGATTAACTTAATTTTGCATAATTAATAGGTAAAGGAGGAAACATTAAAATATTGTTTATGAATCCTTAGGTTACTAGCTATATTTACTTCACTAGTTTTTCCTACATAATTTCAAATAACAACTCTCAAGTTCCATGTTGCTAAATAGTTCTTTTGTTTGAAGTGAGACATCAAGTTAGAAACTCTCCAGCTTTCTTTCCTCTTAGTTATGGTTATTAAACATAGAATTGGAGGCAGTTTTCAGCAGACTGAATGGGGGTGACACCGAACCATTAGAATAGAAGAGACCTTGAATACTCTTGTACATCATCTCTCTCCTTTCCAATCAGGATTACATTATATCCAGATGAATTCCTATTTTAAAAGACTTCTATAAATATCTTCAAACCCCCTTGGTAGCCCTTATTACAGTTTTTAAACCCATTTCACATTCAGAAAATTTTTCCTCCAGTTATTGGTAATCTGAGTCCTTCATGGTGTAGTCAAAGGCCATTTCCTCTTGTTCTGTCATCAGAAAGGATGAGGAACAGCTGTTCACCATCTTCAGTACTTAAAGTCTTACTTAATCGCTTTACCACTGCTTGCTTTTTAATTTTTTCCCCCAGTATCCTTTGTTCTGTGAATTCTATTCAGATTTTCTTTTGCTGTACAACCTTGACATAAATATAAATGTGGTCAGAGCTGATTGTAAATATGAGAATTACTGTATTGTTTTAAATATCATATATAAACATTTATATTTGGGCCTATTTTGAGTTATTATTTATTTTGTTGTTTTATTTTGGGTGCTATTTCTGCATGAAATTGCCTTGGTTCTGCTCTTTATTGCTGTTGTTTTTTTAAATGTTATTTTGAGATTGTTTGCACACCCAGAAATATTTTAACTTTTCAATATTTTCCTAGATTCAGTTTTTATCCTTTTAGTTAAAAAATTATTTTTATAGTTATTTTTTATAGTTATTAATTTATTTTTAAATTTTCTTACATTGTTGTTCATTTTTGTACAATTATTTGATTTTTCTCCCCTCAAGATTAGTCCCCATAATAAAAAAAAAAGTGATTTTTATTTTGTCCAATTCTTAGATATTATGGTCCTGGGTTGCCAATTAAACTTAACATTATTATTATTATCCTAGTCAAATTGAAAGCATGAAGCAGCATTTGTCTTTCCTGTTTTATGTTATTTATGGATTCAGCAGATATTGGCATTGCCTTGGAGATGATTTTTGCATTCATTGTGGTCTAATCTAGTTGTATGTGAATTCTTCTTTAATGTCACTAGTGAATCCCTTGTCTCTTCTCCCACTAAGTAGTTCCACCTACTAATTTCTGTCCAGTTCTTGAGGTGGAGGAAAGTAATATGGCAGGAGACAAATAATATGTAACATCATAATACTATAAAGGATTGTCATTAAAAATGGCAGGTGGATAGTACATAACTCTTAGTGAATATTGAATAAAAGGATAATATTCTCTGAAGTTTATTGAGAAAATAAGAGTAAATTCATATGTTGAGAATGTTCACAATAGTACTCTGTGCCCCAGCCAACCCCCACTTCCCAACATTGTCTATTTAATGTTATCCAGTTTGATGATCAGAAGTTTAGTTGCAACAAAATCCCAAAGTTTTGCTGAAATGGAGCCAAGTTAACTCACCTGATGCCATTCGTTCTATTAAGTTTGCTTTTCTATCACAGAAACGTTAAAATCTTTAACAATGAAGTTCTGACAGTGTTATTTAGATAAATATTTTTAGTCAATTTATATATTTTGTTTTGATTCTGTATTCATTTTTAATTCATATGTTATACCAAGTGTTATTTTAATAAAGTGTTAGAAATTTGCTTGATAGTTGATAAATGTACCTGATCTTTCAGTCAATTATTGACCTGATGTAGATGAAAAGTGCATTTTAATCAGATAAGTTGCCATTTAGTTACTATTCCTAAATTTTATGTAATAACATTGTGAAAGATTTTTATTATGCAATTTTATATATTGATTTTTTTCCTTGCATATCTTTAAATTATTTTGAAGTATTTTATTGTTTATGTTAAAAATATTACTGTAAACTGAAGTGCTTGATGTATGTTCTATTCAAAAAATTTTTAATGTGTTACATTAGAAAATAGTATAGGAGGGTCCTCCCCGGTGGCTCAGCGGGTTGAGCGCCGCACTGTGAAGCTGTCCGCATCCTCTGCATGTGAGTTCGATTCCCGGTCGGCCAGGAAGAAACCCACATGGCGAGCAGACCTTTCCTGTCTCGCCTGCCGCTCCCCTCAGCAGTGTCCTTGGTGTCTGCTTGTTCTACTCCCTGCTCTGTTTCTGGTGAATTCTCTCACCCTCCCGCACCTCTGACTCTACCCCAGTTCTTGTATAAATAAAAAAAAATCTGTAGAAAATAGTATAGGAAAGTGAGAATATAATGCTTATATGATAGTTGCTTCAGAAATACAAATACAATGACATATCCCTGATTAAGCCATCAATATTGGCAGTTACGTTTAAACTTTAGCCTTGTTTATTTCTCCACTCTATTTGGTGTGTTTCTCAGAAAGCTTAGGTTGATACAAAAAAAAAAGACTACTGTTATATTAATGCTACTTATTACATATTTTTTAAAAACTGAAGATGAAAAATGTTAATTTATAGTGGTAAATAGCTGTTAAATGAGTGAAATATATATTTAGAATTAATAGCTTTCCACTTCCTTGTAAAATGTCCATATTAACTCACTCATGTAATCCATTTGCCTAATAAATAGCTAGTAAACATTTGTTGAATGCCAAACACTATGTGAAACACAGAGGATAAAGTTGCCAAACACACACATGCTCTCTGCCCTTGTGGAATTCACAGCCTTGGCAATGCCTACGCTGTATGATTGCTGTAACGGGTGCCGGAAAATATAGTACCATATGTGCCTTTCCATCCCGTGAGTGGCCCTAATTTTCTGCAGCTCTAGGTAGGTAGATTGTTGAAAGCGTAAAGGCTTATGCCTCAAAGGTACAGAATTTTGACATTTTTGTTACTACTTATTTCACTGAAATATGTATATTTATATGTAAAAATAAAAATACTAGGATACCTATATAAAACAACCAAAGTATAAATAAATAGCACTGTAAAGATAAAACTAGACATGATTAAAATGTAAAATAATTTATACTTTAGTCTGTAAAATAGAAATTTATACATAGTGTGTGTGTTTACACATACTGATTATATGCAACTTCTTCTGGCTTACTTCCTTCACTTTTTGTATCTGGGAAATTAAAATTAATACAATCCTTTGTTTCTCTTTGAGCATGGTAGGAAGAATGATAAATGATAGAGAATTTTATGTTTTGTCTTATATATATCTAAAATTGAAGATACATAGTGTTTTTCATTTGCTGTTCCATTAATCTCTCCTTGGAAATTTCAACTTGGATGCTTTTATTCAATACATATGTATGTGTATTGTGTTTGTGTGTTTGTGTGTGTGTGCAAGGGCATGCAAAAAAGAGAGAGAGAGAGAGATCCTGAGTTAAAAGGATATAAGTGGCATAATTGGTTAATTCATGTTCTTTTTATAGAGCAGTTCATAATTTAGTTAGGGCAAATAGATTCAATAAATTGATTAATCACAAAATAAGATCATCATTGCTTTAATAGTATATTAACAAAGCAGACAAAGTACATGCAAAATACAAATTATTCTTTGAAATTTCTACATAAAAATACTCTTTTGGAAATCAAGATAGTGTGAATAAGTTCTTAAATTTAGGTATTTAGCTTTTAAAATTTTTTAATCAGCTTGCAGTTTTTCTCCTTAGTTCATTACCTAAATTACCAACATTACCAACCAATGAGTGCTGTTTAGCTCTCCATGTAAAAATTTAAATGAATACAATGAAAACATTTTAAAATGTTTTTAATTTTTTTGAAAGGTTTTCTTTAAAATTATTTTCAGTATTAGATTAAACAATATTAATGCCTGATTTAATTTGCTTATTTATATTTTAGATTTGAAAAGTGTGTGAGAGCTAAAGAAGATTTGGAGACTGATCTTTATAAACGGTTTATTCTGGTGCTGAACGAGAAGAAAGCAAAGATAAGAAACTTACATAAATTGTTAAATGAAGCTCAAGAACCAGAAAAGAACATTGATCATGAAAGGTATTTTGACCTTTGTGTTTTTAGGTAACAGATGCATATAGATGTGGAACTTCTTCCCAAACTTATTAAAAGTTAGGTGCCAACTTTTTAGTAATTTGAGATTGCTTGATAATCTGGGGTTGAATGCTGTTAGACAGGGTTGGAGTGGACTGGCATTTCTCAATATGATCACTCAGTTTGCCCAATTGTCACTTCTATACTTAAATCTCAAAATGGCATGAAGTTTATCCAAATATTTAATTCTTATATATCACTAAGATATGTACTAACTGAAAACTTTAATCTGCAAAACTAGACTTAGATGCACATTTGTAATCTTGATATTTAAGCAATGGTTAAATTTAGAATCAAGTGGCTCTGAAATTTGATGCAGAGAAGAACAGGGGTATTGGCCGAACTTGCAGGTGGTGAAAGTATTCACCAGAAACAGAGTGGGGAGCAGAACAAACAGATCTACTGAAATACACTGTTGAGGGGAATAGCAGGGAGACTGGAGAGGTCTGCTGCACCATGTGGCTTAGGTCCCTGAATGGGGATGAACTCATGCTGCAGTGGCTGGCAATAACTTGGTAGTGCTGAGACTTAACCCCTGTGCCATGAGGGAGACCCTGATGTATACTTGATTTTTAAGGAAGAATCATATGTAACTTATCACTGGTATAATTTTAGACAATTATAATGCTTTAGGATGTAGTGGATATAACTTTGAGTCTAATGCCCTCAGTGTGAGCATAAACATAGGTTTACAAATCTCATAATTTAAAGAGTAGAGCATTTGATGTCAAATGTTCCTACTTCTGGCACACGAATTTGGGCCAGTCCTTTAAACTGTCTGTCTTATTTTATCTTTATAATAATAAAGATTATGGATTAGAATGAGGTCAAATGAAAGATGTAACTGCTTTGATATCAGTAAAATTATGAGTACTCTATAACCTATCAAAGATAATTGGGAAAATAGTATTTTCAGAGTAGAATAATAAGTGATAAGTAACTGATTCAAGAATTAATTTTGGTGAATAATAAATCTAATAAATTTAGATTATTAGATGAAAGAGAAACTTTTTTTTAATCGAGCTAACATTGGTTTACAATATTATGCATGATTTAAGGAAATAGGTTCACACCTCATCTTCTGATGTATGTTAATTCACCTACCTACCAACAAAGCACCCATAATCCTTCACCACAGACCACTGGGCTCCCTTCCCCTTTGCTCTCTACTTCCTCCATCCTTTCTCTCTAGTAGCCTCAATTTTGCTGTTATATTTCTAGGGTTTCTTTTGGTTTAGCTTTGTGTGATTCTCTATTTTGGAGAAACTGGTTCTTAAGAGAATTAATATGTAGTCTTTGAAGTGACTTTAACTACATCATACATATTTCAGTATGGATTGTTTATTAGAATCTTTGCAGAAATACTTTCCTTAGCTACCTGTTTGGAAATAATACCTAGCTATTGTTAGGTGTTAGCTAATATTCTACCTTTCTCTGTTTCTAGGGAAACTGCAACATATTCTGAAGTAACTACTGACAGAGATGCAATCTATGATGAAAGTACTGATGAGGAAAATGAAAATCTGCCTGATCCCTCTGTGTTAGTTCCAGGTAAAACATAAACATTTATGTCCTTTGTTGAACATCTCAATTGGGCTTATTACTTTAATGATAATAAATCAGAATGTAAAAGGCTATAAAAATTTTTTTCAAAAATTCTTTAGGAGTTTTTGTCTTAAACTCAAATACTAATGTTAAAAAATTATATTTACTTTTAAATAAAACCGTGCTTTAGCAACAACAAAGCAAGAAAAATACGATTCCTTGTTAAACAGGAATGCATACACAATAAGCAAGATTTGTCTTCAAGATAAGTATTTCTAACTCAGAACAAATTGCCTTTAATATTTGAGATCTGTCTAGCTGGAGTGCTAGATGGGGCCCTGAATGATCTAGAATATTTTAGATAGTCCTGAGGTTGAGGCTCCCTCTTATTATTCAGAAATGATATTGCAATAAGCTGAGGGACAGATAGAAGTTTAAAGTACTTGAGCCTGCAGGTCAGACATCCAACGTGTATAATCCATGGATGATTTTTCCAGAGTTTTATAAATTTCCTAGAGTCAGGAACCCCTGAAGTTACCTTACTCTTAAATGCTTCTGATATATACCAACTATCCTTTCCATAAATATTTATTTAGAAAATACATTTTGAGTGCTTATTATATACTAGGAACTTTTCTATGTAGTAGAGAGTTACACAGAAAAAATTCTGTTTTCGTGGGATTTAATCTCTAGTCCTGGACACACAATAACAAGATGAATATTAAGTATAAAGAATGTTAGGTCGTGATAAGTGGTAAAGAGAAAAATAAACCAGCAATGGATAATGGAAAATGTGAAAGTGGGAATAAAAATGAGGGTTGTGGTTTTATCCAGGACTACAGAAAAGACCTTGGTGAGAAGGCAACGAGTCTTTCTGTGGGAAGAGCATGCATAACAGAAAAGCAGGTTAAGTAAAAAGACCCTGAGGTGGGAGCTTGCCTGATTTGTTCAGGCAATAGCACAGAGAGCAGAATGGGTAAGGTGGGGAGGTGAAGATGGGGAGAATTAGATGAGACAGAGAGAGACCAGAATATATGTAGGACCTTATAGGCCATTGTAAGGATTTAAACTTTTTCTTGATTTTCTGTTGGAAACTTGTAAAATTTTTAAACAATCAAGTCACTTTTTTTTTTAAAGATTTATTTATTTATTTATTATTATTATTTTTTTAAATAATAAATTTTATTTTTATATTCCCCCATACAATTGCAAACGCCCCATTCTGACCCCAATCCCTCCCCTCCCGCCCCCCACCCCCCAAAAAGTGTCTCTGGTTCATAGTTTTTTGTTGATTTTGATTTTCACTTTCTTATAGTTATTCATTTTCCTGGTCCCTTATTTAAGTTTTCTAGATTCCTGCTATGAGTGAGACCATCCGGTATTTTTCTTTTTCTTTTTGGCTTATTTCGCTGAGCATGATCCCTTCCAACGCCATCCATGTTGCTGCAAATTGCATGTGTTTATCTTTTTTGAATGCTGAGTAATATTCCATGGTGTATATGTACCACATCTTCTTGATCCAGTCATCTATTTTTGGGCATTTGGGCTGTTTCCAAAGCTTAGCTATTGTAAATAGTGCTGCTATAAACATAGGGGTGCAGGTGTTCTTTGGAATTGATGATTCTGTGTCCTTTGGGTAAATACCTAGGAGTGGAATTGCTGGATCATATGGAAGCTCTATGTTTAGTAGGTCCAGAAATCTCCACACAGCTCTCCACAATGGTTGGACCAGTTTGCACTCCCACCAACAGTGCAGAAGAGTTCCTTTTTCTCCACACCCTCGCCAACATTTGTTGTTGCTAGTTTTTTTAATATGTGCCATTCTCACTGGTGTGAGATGGTATCTCATGGCAGTTTTGATTTGCATTTCCCTGATTACAAGTGATGTTGAACATTTTTTCATATGCCTGTTGGCCATTTGCATTTCCTCTTCAGAGAAGTTTCTTTTTAGCTCTTCTGCCCATTTTTTGACTGGATTATTTTCTTTGTTGTTGCTGAGTCTCATCAGCTCTTTGCAGATTTTTGTGATCAGTCCTTTATCATTAGTGTTGGGTGCAAAAATGTTCTCCCAGTTGGTGGGGTTTCTAAAAGATTTATTTATTTATTTATACAAGCACTGGGTACGGTCAGAAGAGCGGGAGGGTGAGAGAATTCACCAGAGCCAGAGCGGAGAACAGAACAGGCAGACTGACAAAGTACACTGCTGAGGGGAGCAGCGGGCAACAGGAGAGGTCTGCACACCATGTGGGACCTTGCTGGCCGGCAGGGGATCAAACAGGCACTGCAGAGGCTGCAGGCAGCTTCACAACCCAGTGCTCAACTGCTGAGCCACCAGGGATGCCCCCAAGTCACATGTTTTAACAAGATTAATCTAGCAATTATGTTGAGAATAGAATACAGAATGATAAATATAGAAGATGCAACAGAAAATTAGTTCAACAGGGAGTGAAGGATGAGAATAACTTAGGCCAGAGTGGTAACAGCAAAGGTAACAGCGGATTGTAGATATGTTTAGAGGCAATAATATTGCTGATCAAGTGAGTGTGGATCATGAAAGAAAGACAGGCACCAAGGATGGTAAGGTTTTTGGACTGAACTGCCAAAGATATGCCATTTACTATGTTTGGGGTACTGAAGGAGGATGGCTAGGAATTCAGTTTTAGGAACATTATTTCTGAGATAGTGAATATGGATTTGGATACACAAGTTTGGAGTTTGTGGAGGGCTTCTTACTGAATATATAAGCGAAGGTGGTAATTAAAGCTGCATGCAATATCAAAAAAGTTAGAAAAGGTCACTCATACAGGGGGTTGTGTAGAGGTCAGGAAGATGACCAACAAAGAAGGTTGAACATGAGGTAAACATGAGAGGATTAGTTCATCTAGGGGACATCCTACAATGACAAGAAAGAATGTTGAATAAATTTACAGTTATATAGGCATGGAGACATACTGACATTGATTAAATTAGCTGATTGTTTAATCTGATTTGAATTAGATTTGAATTGGATCACAGAGTCACATTAACACACACTCACTTTTGCGTATCAGAGTTAAATTTCCTTTATATGGGGCTATACTTATTTTCCACTAGTGACCCATTTAAAATGAAATCATTCTTAATAATTGAATATAATCAAAAGTTCACAAAGAAAGAGAATCTGTACTCTTTCCAAATTTAAGCACTCACAATTTTTATTAAATACAATGGCCTTTGATTTTGTTCCTTATTCAGAATATCTCACAAACCTTTGAAGTAGAGGAAAATTATTGTTGAAGAGAAAATGTATGGTTAAATATGGGTGTATGAGAATGGGGTCTTTTATGTGTTCAGTCTATTTTAAGCAAAGTTTTAAGTTGTAATTGTACTGCTTTAAGATTGGCAAAATTTCTCTTCTCTTCAAAAATGTTTAGTTTGTTGCATATTTTTCTATATTTTACATGACATTTTTCCTTTAACTCATATCTTGTTCACTACATACTTTTTTGCATTTTACTTGCTTTCATAACTTTTTGATGTCAAGAATTAGAGCATTTTGTTAGACATTTTAACTATCCTTTTCTTCCTGCGTCAGGATATGTTCAAGAAATTCAGATTTGTTTCAGATCTAAAATGCATGATATTGAATTAAGAATTAGATTTCCTATCTCTGATGGAAAACATTGTATATAACAGCAAAATGGACCTTATTATAGTTTACCAGATTCCATAATTCATTCTTTCACAGAGGCAAAATATATTCTAAATTCATGGGATATTTATTTTAATCACTACTTTGTTTTCTGGTATTTTATGGATTATTACTATGTTTTTGGGGCAGAGTAATGAGAATTTCTTCCTGAAATTATTCTGTTATCTTAATAATAAATTTCTTGTTCTTAGAGTACAAATAAATAAGAATTTATTTTAGATATTGTTGGTTCATGTGTACCTTCCCTATAATAAAAGCAAGAGGAAAGGAAATTGATGGGATTGAATTTAATATATCTGCTCTGTCTTTCAGAAAAGCACTTCCTTAAGTTGTTAAATATATAACTTAATTATAATTTTTGTATTTACATTTTAATAATTAATTATTTCATAATTACTTATTAAAGTCACCTAATTTCCCATAGGTTGTTTACATTATTACTCCATTTCTCCATGATAAAAGAGGTTTAATGAGACCAATAGTACTTCTACAATATTCATTTAAGGAAAAGATCTAGTTATTTTTATACCTATCCAGAAGTAAATTAGGAATATTATAGCTTCCAGAATACTGATAAAATTAGAAATATTTTAGCTTCCAGAATACTGATAAAATTAGAAATATTATAGCTTCCAGAATACTGATAGTGTTTTTTCAATGAATAAGCAAACTATTTCATCACATATTTTGTTTCAAGTTTAAAATTTTCCCCCATTATTAGGAGTATTGAGAAAGTAACATTTATTTTATAATAAATGACAATTGGTCTAATCTAATAGACTATATCATTCTCATATGTACAACACCATATACTATGAAAAACCTTTAAAAATATTTAACAGTTTATTAGCTAAAAGGAGATCCAAGTTATTCTGAAACTTGAACATCACAGTTAATACCACCCCACAATTGCATTTTATATTTTTCTGTAGCAAGATTTACTTTCCCTATGTTGTAGCATATAGGTTATTACAGACTTTATTTCTTAAATTACAACTGCATATGGAAGGCCTATTTTTCAGCTTAAGATTATTCTATATAAAGTAATTGCTGTTGTCTCTATTTATAGCTCAATCCCTGTATTACAGAGGAGGGTGGGTCACTTTCACCCCATTATAGTTGGTGTTAATTCCTGTTGCACTAAAGATTTTTTGATTAGTCTGGTCTTCTCCAAAGTTTTGTTGTTATTTTTTAATTCTGTGAAAAGCTGTTGGGTTATTGTAGCTAGTGAAAATACCCTTCTCTACAAAAACCTTCCTGCTTTGGATAAAAGATAAGGGTAAAACTTGTTGTCCTGGACTTTGGAGAATCTTCA